TAATTCTAGCGTTTAAGAGAATTAATGTTTGCGGGGGAACGAAAGCTTATTAACTAAGTCATGGATTATTTCATTTCAAATTTTTTAATTTTTGACAATACCATCGATAGATAAGAAAAGGATGGATGAATATACACGAATATAATTAAATCGGCTCAACATATCACATTATTATTACTGAAAATATCCCGGACTTTCTGGCATTTCTGATGCACATTTATTTCTGTTTTCCAACATTTCTTATTCCACTGTACTCGGGACTTAAAGCCTAACTTTTCTTTGCTGAGATTACGCAAAACAAAATAGAAAATTAAAAGTCCATTAAAGTTTTCGACAAATCTAGTTTCGATATTGTTCTGATTCGCGCACAAAAACTCTCGCATTTGCTTGGAAAAAAAAAGTGACATAAGTAGCTGAGTATGTAAAGGATTGCGACTAACATGGTCACGGGTTCAAATCCGCATACATAGGCGAGCACATGATCTGGTCAGCCTTTAAATTCATGCCTTGTAAATATATTTACACAGTGTACATTATGATATAAATAAAATAAATAAAAAGAGAAAAAAAAAGAAAAAGACACAAAACTATTACAAGAACAATTTATGATATGTGGCAGTGATATACGCAGTCAAAACCTTGCGGTAGTTAAGTGAAAAGTTATCTGTGGACTTTTATTGGGACATAATTAACAAAAAGTTTTATGATTGTATTCAAGCGTGTTTGCTTGCGAATGCTTACATTCTGGGGATGTAATTTATTATTTTGGTCCTTGGTATTTGAGCTCAATAGAATCTTAGAATTTATATATAATAATAATAAACTTGTTGCCACTTGTTCCTATTACAAGCTGAGATTTTAAAAATATTTTTCATTGTTCTAAGCTCAAATCGAAACAACACAAACATCATAAGCATCATAAGATTTATTAAATATTGATAAGAATTTGTATAGAATTTGCGTTGAAAGCAAAATGAAAATTGAAACAAATGCACGTTGGAAACGTATGTAAAAGTAAACAGATACCTAAAATATATGTATATAGGATGACAAAAAGGTGTATTAGAACTTTGAATAAATTCTAAAAATAAATTATTCAACGAATACTCATTCACTGCATAGCAATCGAAATCCAGTGTATGTACAGAATTTATTGTTCATCTGCAGTCTTATAGATTTTGCGTCTAAAGCCACTTTTTGAGCTTAGATACTGTATTATAGGGGAACATTCATTTGGGTTCGAACGCTTTTTCAGTTTTGCCAGCTTTCAGCAAAATGCAATCACAGCTTTTTGCATGACATCTATGATTGAAAATGTCGCTCGCGTTTTTTGTTTTCCTTTTTTTTTTTTCTTTTTTTTTTTTTTTTTCTTTCCAATATTTTTAAAAAGATTAAAGAATAAAGACCAACAACGCATACAGTTGGGAAAACATGTTGAAGATTTTATGTGAACGACAGGACAGTATTTTAAATAAATATGAAAATGTTACAAGTAAATGTGAAAATGTGAAAATTTGAAAAAAAAAGTAAATTTTTTTTTCTTTTTTTCTTTTTGTTTTTTTTAATTCTCCAGATCGCTCCACTGTGACGTTTAGTTCTTCTTCCTTGGATATAGAATCACCTAAAACGAATACCGAATATGATGATCCTGTACCTGAATATACTCTCGTCTCCGGTCTACCTTCGTATGAGGCTGCTTTGAAATTGCTACAAAAATCGCCGAAAAATTCGTGTCTATTAGTACAGCATCCAAGTGTATTTCACATTTTCAATAGACATGAGAAAACTCATAATGAAATCACTGATTCTATGATAACTTCAAACGAGGTTAATATGCCCTTATTAACGGAATCGCAAACAATCGCAACGAACAATCAGGCAACAGATGGAATCGTCCACGTACAGTCCAGCGAAAAATCGCTCCAGTCTCAGCCAGTTGTAATATTGCATACAGTAGCCTCCGATAAAGCTATTTATAAGGATAAATCTAAAAGTGTGCAGAAGTGCGACAAGTCTTAATTCCGCGCATGCGGACGAGCGCATGGGAAGAATAAATACTTTCCGTACAAATATTTGTATGTAAAACTGTGATATTGAAGTAAACTCCTCCTCTCTTCTTTATATTCCTTAAGTAGTATTATTTATAAGTTAAATGCCAAAATTCGGGAATATTTAAGAGTTTGATTTTTATTATTATTTTTCCTTTCGGGCATAATTATTATATTATAATGTGAAAGAACTGCATTTAATAATCTAATAATAATATTAATGATGATATATATATATATATATATCTCCATGTTGATTATCTGCTTAAGAATGGATTTGATAGAGATCATAAAGAAGCAAAAATAAAACCCTAATGTATATGAATATATAATAATAATGTACGTAATGTATAATAATTTTAAAAATAGTACTGTAAATTTTGAAATAAAAAATTCCATTTAATGACAAAAAAAATTGAAAGAAAATTTTACATATTTTTTAAAAAGGAATTTTTTGTAATCAATAAAGATAAGTACCGACAATAATGTGCATCAAAGACTTTAAGCATTTCCCTCTGCATATCCGTCGATCGGTCATGACATGACGGCCATCTACTGTTGGTGCTGATGCTGCCAAATTTAATATTCGATACTCGGTAAAGTAAATGGTTTCAAAAAATAACAAAAAAAGCGACGATTCCATAAAAAGGCTTAATATAAAAAAAAAGAAAAGAAAGCAAAAAAAAGGTTAATGCAGCAACGGCTTAATTTATTTGAAACTAGACTGATTTAAAATTTCAAGCGCAATTTTAATAAGAACCTTCACTAAGCTTATGCAATACAATACGCGATTGTTGACTTGTATCAAAACCGCAATTAACCATAAGAAGAAGAGGCATTTTGGAATTACCGAGACGATGTTCGCTTTGAGGGGAATATCGTTTTTTTTTTCTTTTTCGATACATAAAATGCCGACTAGTTTAACAATTACAAGTTAGAACAATGAGAATAGGATTCCATGTTTTCTGACCACGCTTTTCACGCTACCACCACGAAGAAAATGGAAATTATCCAGCGCTTTCGGATCGGAACTAAAGTCAAAATATATAAAAATAGATTGTAAGTGAATGATGAAGATATTAGTGAGCCTAATGATCAGTGCTTAATCAATGCTAGTTTAACATCATGCGTGTTACCTCAATCTTCAATCTATACATCTCTTATAGCTTCATAAGCATAAAATTACATTACAATCTTAAATTATTCTATTAATTCGAGAGCTATTGACAATCGTCGTGTCTGATAACTGTAACCAAACGTAATTAAGATATTTGCAACTTATTTATATTCTGGATTTTAGCACACGTTCATTTGTGAAAGTCAATATAGAAACGAGTCCGTGCATAACAGTTTGTGGTTTTATTACGTCTTGCAAAATTCTAATTGGAAATTAATGGACATAAAAAAAAATTTGAAAAAAACTCAATATACATGGTTGCATAGTAGTCTAAAGTTAACCATCGTCACTGTAATTATTAATAAGTTTAAAGTGTTTTTGTGCTGCTATTTATTAAATGTAAAATGCATATAGTTATTAAATAATTCATGTGTCGCAGTTGCAATAATTTGATATAAATTGCTAGACAATGACCGTGACAATTAGATAGTCGGCTCTATCGGCTTTATCGAAATCGTAACAATTGAAATCCTATTAGATCAATTGCACATAGCTTTTAACTAATTATGTCTTTCAACCATAAACCGCTAACGTGTATACTTTAACAGGAATAACAATTATGTTTAACCTCTTTTTCATTTCCACATTTTATTTAATTATACGACAATGATAGCATCACATATATTGTTAATTGCATTGCTTTTTAAATTGGATTGGAAGGTATGAAGGTAGAGGATACACTGCTGCCTTAGCCTACGATGCCCGCTTACGCTACGTGTTAATCTAATAAGTGATAACCGGTAGTGATCCAATCATTGAATCATTTCCGGACTTCTTCAGCATTCCGGACTTCGAAACTGCCGTGTGCCAGCCAAGCCACACTGCATCGAGCTGAACAAGTAGTAATCAGAAGATACTATGTCTGCGGAGTACGCTGGGTGCGCTAGCACTTTCCATTTGAGCTGCAACAATGTATCATTGACGTGTGGGCAAGCGTTGCACGACAATTCTGTTATGTAAGAATAGATCGATCGTTCAATTTGTTCAATTGAAGTCGATGGACATCTGTAGTACCAATTTCGTTTGGTTTTAAAGAGCTGATCCCACCGTATGTACAACAAAACTGTATGGCCGTGGATGTGGACCAACTTATGACTTTTTGCGCTTGCAGAGAAATCTTCTTTTTTGCCTGGCAAACAACGCTATCGCAACGTTGCCACAGTTCGGCATATGGCATTTTTGGTGAATTAGTATGGTAGTAATTTTCCCTACTTTTGGATCTTTTTCATTGCATCTGAAATTGTTGCTTCATCAACTAAGCTAAGCTGTTCGAAAGTTTTTTAAGAGTTTGAGCTCGGTTTTCGTCCAATAAGTCTTGCGATTCATTGGCTTCGACCTTTTTTGTTTCTCCCGGTCGTTCGTCATCATTGACGGCAGAATCACCAAGTTTATGCCCGTCGGGATTAAACTCGACAATTGTGATATGATGGAGCAATATCAGCATAAGTTTCTGAAAGTGTTTGATGGACTTTAGCAGCAGATTTCTTGACATAGTTATTCAACAACAAAAATAATGAATGTCGGAAATTGCAATTTTGAACGTACGATGGTTAGCGTCTGCATACGCTGAATAACTCACTAATACAAAAAGGAAAACTGTTATTTTATGTGAAGAAAACTCCAAATCGTTGAATTTAATCGTCGCTAGCATTGGTACTTTGCAATACTTTGTCATTGTTATCAATAGATGCCGCTGATCAAAATATATGCAATCACCTTTTATATTATATCATGGTTAGAAAATATATATCACATACAATTATATATACAATTATATAGACTTTCAAAGTTAAAAAGCGGTTGATAGGATTCTCAAACTCTCTCTCTCTCTCTCTTTCTCTTTTTAAATCATTCAATAGTAGGAAAAAACTGAAAGGATACGTTCTTTTCCCTTCACCCATGTATACAATATAAATAACGATTAGGTGTTGTTTCAGTAACAGGTAAGAATGCAATTATTTAAAACCTTTTCGTATCATCGTTTTTAAAATAATTGTGCGACACATCTGTTTTTTGCAAATTTGCAAGCAATATTCGCAAATGCACATATGTTCTTGGAAAATGTTACGCAAGTATATGGCGTATGAGAGGGCAATTAAAAAAAAAACAAAAAAAAAAAAAGAAAAGTTGGCTACAGAATTCTGTGTGAGTGTGTATAATATTACATATATATATATATATATATATATGTATATATGTGAAGCGTCTGAAAAATTCGCTCTGTTGTAAGTCGCTTTACAAAAAGCCTTATTCAAATAATTTGGAAATAATTTTAAAAACCGTTTCATCGCTTCTTAGTCTATATACTTTTCGAAAAAAAAAAAGAAGAAAAATAAAAGTACCGTTCGTCAGTTTCAAATTCGCTAGCGACTCGCCTACTAACTGTTTAACTATAAACATTATTTAATTGGCAAATATCTACGAAACTTTTTTTTAAAATTAACATAGCGTCTTACGTGTATAGCGGATGATGTATGTATCGTTAATTTTGGCTATGGTAGACTCTTTGTAGCAATAAATTCTTGTTACGTGTTTTTAATAACTTAAAAAGCTGGATTTAGTTTTTTCTTTAGACTTGTATACTGTATTTTTATTCAGAGTTCTTGTAATCATTTCGTTGATTTTTTAATATCATCCAGTTATCAATTCACTTACAAGTCCAACTGAGAACCACTTCTTACTTAAGACAACAATGTGTGCTACGCATAATGCACCATTTGGTTCGCTCTGAGAGAGTATAACTGAATTGAATTTTTATATGAAATGAAAATAGTATTGCGAACGATGACCCTTTTATGGCTTCTCCCTGTTACCTGTTAATATAATTGCAAACCGTATCATTACATAATATTTATGTCATAATTTATGAAAAATTTTTTAAATATTGTGTACACATTTGACACCTGATGCTGTTGCATTGACTGTTGCAATTGCTTGCTTGCTTGCTTGCTTGCTTTTAAACAACTTACGAGAGATTAATTTATTAAATTTTATCGAAGTTCGAGAAGTTGAAAATATATATGATGTGTTGTAAAGAGGATTTCTGGCAAATGGATTAACTCTTAACTTAATTCAATGGGAATTAGTTTGCTGGACGCAACGTTTTGTGAAGGCATGCATATCACGCCAAAATAGACGGCATTGCTGCCCCACCTATTACTTGCAACTTTCTTTGCTTGATGAACTAATTGATTGACTTACGTTGAATTCATGAACATCTCAGTTGAACTATTACGCAATTGTTCCTCTTGCCAAATGAATTCAGTAAAAGATAGGCATTGACCAGATATCGCTTTTAAAAGAGAAAAGAAGAAATAACAAAATGCAGCAATAGAATTGCAAACAAGCCAACACCAACAACAATAAGTTGTTAAAACTTTTAGAATCCCTTCATTTTTTTTATTAAGACACGGTAGAATTAGAAAAGAAAGTAATAAACTTTGTCTTAAATGAAGACAATATGTAATAGCCGTTAACCGGTTTTTTTGGCGTGGACTGAACAAGAATTTGCAGAAAACGTATTGAACTTAAGCGACATTGCATAACAATATGCGAATAGTTTTCTTCTTCTTCTTCTTTTTTTTTTTTGTTTTTTCTTTTGATTGTAAAATTATTTTATTATTTTCGTCTTGTAAAATATTTGATTTATTTTGGGGAGAAAAAAGCCGCTTTAAGATATGGTAGACGCTAAAGTAAGAATGCCTGCAGACAGCAAATAGAAGAAAGTCTAACAAACGTTGACCATAATTAGGTGCAGTAGATCCTCCTATAACATGTATTCATCTAACTACGCC